ATGTCTTCAGTTGCGAGAGTGATCCCGACAAGCGAGGCTTCCTGGAAGCCATGTTCAAGCACACAGGTGACGTCGACATGGCACGACTTTTTGTCAGCACGGAGCACCTAGCAGCAGCCGGTCCCCATGGTGGCCAAGTTGAAGAACACTTGAGCCGGGAGGAGTGCGAAATCCCAGCAGACTTCACGGACCTTATCTTTGGTTTCCCATGCCAGGATGTATCGCGACTCAACCGTGCCTCAGAGAACTTGATGAACCAAGAGACTGTGAAGAATGCAAGTCTTCGCACGGGAAAGACTTTTGGCGAGATGATGACCTTCTTGGACAAACGCACTTCTCTTGGGCTTCCACCGGTGAGTTGCATCATCATGGAGAATGTCATGGGGTTGGCGGAGCCTCCGAAGCGGAGCGGAACTTCAGAGCACCGGCTCGAGCATTCCAACTTGGACTATGTCAAGCAAGCCATGTCCGCCAGAGGCTATTTCATGCAGGCGGTCGTGCTTGACCCCCTTGGCCTAGGTTGGCCAGTGTCACGTAAGAGAATCTACATGATCTGCTGGCCGAAGTCCAAACTTGAGCAGGCTGGCTTCGCGGAGGACTTTGTCAGGAGCACGGTGGAGGAGATCCTCAACAAGCTGTCGCGCAGCAGCACGAAGCATCTTGATGACATCATCCTGGACGAGAGTCACCCGGCAGTCAAGGATGAACTCAACAGATCACGCGAGGTCATGCTCAAGAGACGAGCGGAATCTCCACCCAAAGTGAAAAAACACAAGTGGGCAGAAGCCCACGTGAAGGCATTGCAACGCCAGGGGGTGGACTGGTGGGTTAACAACACCCCGAGTGAAGCCACGTACAATCGATACCCCGGACTACTGTCATTGACAGATCGCCAACTCGACTTGTGCAAGGTCATGCGAGTGGCGCTGCCTGACCCCAGATGTGCGATAGTGGAGATGTCACAGGGCCTGCGCGGCCCGAGCTCCTCCAACATCCCATGCCACCGGGCGTCCATCGTTCTTCCAACTGGACAGCAGTTAATCCTGCATCGAGGTCGCATGGTTTCGGGCCTGGAAGCGATGTTGTTGCAAGGACTTCATTTTGGCAAAACCCAAGGTCGGCTCGATGAGTTTTCGCCCGAGATGCTTCGCAACCTGGCGGGGAACGCCATGCAGGCCCATAGCATGGCCTGCGCGCTGCTCATCCACAGAGCCATCGAAGGGCAGCTGACTGTTGCAATGATGACCAAGAAGGAGTCCTCCTGCACGCCAGTGGACGACGACTTGTTCGATTTTGAGTGAGGTTTGATGGTTGCAGATTGCCAGCCCGCCACGCAACGAGACCGGCCCTAGGCCTAGGCCTAGTCCTAGTCAAGTCGCTACTGTCACTACCGGGTCTATTGTTAACAGTTAACAGTTAACCGTTATCTTGATAGCATCTTGCGGAATCTTGCGTGCTTTTGTTTTGGTCCTTTATTGAGCCGTAAGACTTGGTAGGCCTTAAGCCTTAAGCCTTAAGCTTAAGCTTAGCCTTCCTTTGCTTCCTAGCCTCAGGCCAGGTCCTGCAAGTTCTAAGCGTAGGTTGCTTTAAGGTGTTGTGGAGTCTTTACAAGGCTTAGCCAGGTAATTAAGCAGTTAAGCCGTTAAGCCGGAAGCGGCCCTTGCATATGTAGTGGTAGGTACCATCGCGTGAGTGAAGGCTGCAACTGCAACCTGCGTCGTGGCACGAGATTGCCCTCGCAAGTTTTGATGGCCAGTAGCTCCGTTTTATAAATTCTGCAGTGCCGCAAAAGGTCCACAGGACGCTAAATAACCAAACTTCTCGTCTCAGTCTGGCAGCCAACCTACAAACGCTAAGCCGCTAAGACCGCTAACATGTCGTGCTTAATGCATTTGTTGTGGACGTGCAGACTGCGCTGCTTCAGTATCCTTTCTCGGACAGAATGAAGATTCGGCAGAAATGTGTCGTTGCTTCGATTGGTCTCCTTCTGCAAGTGAGATAGTCGCGATCACAACTGCGTTTCTTGTCTCGTGTGTTACTTTGGGACGTGAGCTGTTTTGCTGTGCCGTGGTGACTCGAAGGCCATATCTCAGCTAGCCAGAGCAGGTGCATCCGGCATTTGCTCTTTTTGTGCAGATTGCACTCGCCGAAGGCGGTGGCAATGTCTCGGAAACGCTCACATGGCACATCGGCTCCATCATCGGCGGGGAGCGATGCTGTTAGCCTGTTGGGCTCAGTCAAGGACGAGGCTCCAGAAGGCTGGGGAACCGACTCCTTCAAGGGGTGCCGCATGTGCCGGCGGCTACGAACCACACCCAACCCCTTCGATGTACCGGGGAAGCCGCTGCTGGCTTTCAAAAGCGATCGGCACAGCTTGTGCCTGCCCTGCATCGGGGTCTGTAGGAAGAAAGATCCACAGATTCTGACCGACAAGGATAAGCGCAGCGCTTACCTGAAGAAGTTGGCCGAGGACGACGAAGCTTTCCAATCCCACAGAAGCGATTTGGAATCTTACGAGAAGGGTGTCCAAGAGTCGATGGCCAAACGGCGCAAACTGGGACAGCTCCTGCCGGAGGACCCGGAGATTGAGCAGCCGAACATTGTCGTGAATCAGAACCAAGAGGGCGGCCTCGAAATGAGACGGCTACTAGGTGCCTCGGCTGAGAGCAGACTGTCATGATTGGTCAGTCGGCCCCTTTCTTCAAGTCCAGGCATAATGCCCCAGCAATTCTGCTCTCAGGTGTGCTGTGGCCTGTCGACCTCTTCGAGAAGTACGAAAACCGCAAGCCGAACCCGACGGAGATAACGAAGATTACCCAAGGCTCCGCGACTTTGGTTGGAGTGATGCGCTCGCGTGATATGGGCATGCCAGCTGGAACAACCGAGATCTTTGACATTCAGCGATCCACTGCGTGCAAAGTGACAACCCTTGGCAGCTCCGACAAAGAAGCCTTTCAGGATGAGGTGAAGAACCAGTGGGACCAGCTTCAGAGAGGCCACCGGTTGACTTCATCGGCATCGGATGACGGAGCTGTTGCGCTCTCCTTCGAGAACAAGCGCAAAAAGGGGGCGGATGAGTTCGACGACCTCTTCGCGTTCGACGCTGTGACGGTCACAGTGGGCCCCTGGTTATCATAATGTACAGTAGATTCAGTAGATTGTTGCTTTTTTTCTCCTGGGTTGTCGGTTTAAGCCTGGCATAAGCCTAATTGAACTAATTCGAAGGGCTTGTCTGAAGCACATTCGGGGAGGGTGGGGCCAGGACAGGGTGGTTGGAAGGAAGTTCTTCTACTAGGCTTCCAAGGTCCTAGTCCTAGCTGCGCTGCTAGCTTGTTTGTCAAACTTTGATTCAAACACCTTCCGATTGTGTGCGCGACTTACAGGGTCTGGGCTGTCAAGCCCGTAATGATGGTAATGGAATTGGCCTGTCAAGGCCGGCCTTCGGGTTGGGTGTGGGCTGTCAAGCCTGTCATGGGTTGGTGAATGGCCTGTAAAGGCCTTGGGCCTTAGGGCCTTAGGCCTTGGGGCTTTAGCCTAAGAGGGGTGAGGGGGTCACACGCTTGTCGCCCATGATGTGCGAAGTTTCCATACCAGCATTTGTCACAAGGCGAGGAAGAAGATACCAAGAACGTCACGGGCGGCCAGGGAAAGAACAGCAACAAGGGTGGTAAAGGGAGAAGGACATCGGGTGCAAGCAAGGAAACCAAGGAGCCGAAGCCGAAGACCAAACCAAAGAACGAAGCGAAGGAGACCCCGTCGAAAGACTCCAAGCAGGTGAAGGAGCTGCAAGCAGCGGAGAAGGTTGTGCTTGATGGGGTCCACATGCTGCAGAACATGAAGGACGAGGGCATCACAACCGTCAAAACCAAGCTCGTCTCATCGCTGGTGGACAAGGTTGCGGGGAAGCTCACTCCGACGCTTGTGAAACTGCGCCTCGGATCAGATAGGTGCTGTAGAATGCCTCATAGACAAGAAAGGCTGAACAAACATATCTAAACTCTAGACTCTAGAATCTATAAACTCTAAACTTTAACTCTAAACCATAAACTTGACTTAGCTGTTTGTCGGTTCTCCAACTCGATATTACTCTATATGTCTCGCTAGCCGCTAGCCAGACTCCAGACTGTAGACTCACCTAGACTCTGAACTTAATTAAAACCCTGTCCTAAATCCCCTTTGTTTCCTTTTGATCGTGGACCTGCAGGTACACCTCAGGCTACGAGGAGGATTGCCCTGGGATGGTCGTTCTGGAGAAGCTCCGCACACTTCAGCGCATGTTGAACATTGGCAAGGACTTCGCTGCACTTGCGCAGAACCCGGAAGCCAGCGGCTTTGCCATCCAGCAGAAAGCGCAGGAGCTACAGGACGCGAGCTCGGGAGAGGTGACGTTCCAAGTGAGCCCGAAGCTCCTGGAGATGTGTCTCCAGCGGGAGGTGGATCAAAAGGCGAAGGCCAAGGACTGGACGGGGGTCCTGGATGTGATCTTGTCAACAGGTGCCGGCTTGAATGCCTGCATCATTTCCAATGAGCTCAGCAGAGCCACCTTTCAAGAGCGTGAAGTGACGAGACTGGCGGCATCGTTGCTTCGCGAGGACGGCAAGGTCGCGGAGATGAAGGTTTTCGTCGATGCGGTGTTGGCGTCCGACATGAAGGGTGGAATCACCCAGGAGTTGCAGCTCTTGCAGCCTATGCTGAAGCCGATGGATCGGGCAGTGCCGGTAGAGCTTCTCGGGGCGAACATAGAGAAGTTCAAGGGTGACAAAAGCTTGAAGCTCGCCAAGATGGTGAACAACTTCTCCACGGGGATCGCCATTCTGGAAGAAGCTGCTGCCGCAATAGAGCAGCGGGCAAAGGACACATCCCTTACCAGTCGAGTGGCGAAGCTCGCGACGACAGCTGCAGAGTTGTGTGTTGCGGATACATCCCCGGATGGCGACTTCATGAGCTGTGCTGAGGCTGCTGAGAAGTTCGACGCAATGGCGACCGAGTATGGCGAGATCACAACGAGTGGGAGCTTGCACTTTCTCGAGCAGCACAAAGATGAGCTGTCTGCGGTGAAGAACAAACTTCAGGAGTCGGGGCGGGAGAGTTTTTTTTGTGCTTCATGTTCACTACGTTCAATTCATGGAGTTGTTTCCTCCCCGCCCTCCCCGCCAAGAAACCTTACTAAGCGACAGTCTCTCAGCAGATGCTTTATTCGGCCTCGAACCCGCTTTGACTTGACCTCTCTGGTATGTCGTTCTTTGCGATACGATTGCATCTACAGTACCTAGCGAGTGCTTAGCAAGCGCTTAGTGACTTAGTGGCTTAGTGTCGTGGTTTGGTACAACACTTTTCTAGGGGGTTAACGGTTAGACCACCCAACCGGAGTCCTCTGCTCAGCAAGCTTAGTGAGAGAGCTAGTTCAACTCCATGACACTGTTGTTGTTGTTGTTGTTGTCGTTGGTGTTGTCGTTGGTGTTGTCGTTGGTGTTGTTGTCGTTGGTGGTGGTGGTGGTGGTGGTGGTGTTGGTGGTGTTGTTGGTGTTGTTGTTGTTGTTGTTCTTGTTGTTGTTCTTGTTGTTGTTGTTCTTGTTGTTGTTCTTGTTGTTCTTGTTGTCATTGTTGCGTGTTGCTTGTTTTGGGGTGTTGTTGGTTCTTGTTGGTTGTTGTTGGTTGCTGTTGGTTTAATGGCGATTTAAGGCAAGCTGCTTTGCTCTAGGTAAGGTTCGGGGCTCCAGGAGCTGATCGCACATGGCGATGCCTTGGCGGACAAGAAAAGGCAGGATATGGTGCAGGAGTATGCGGGTGCCATTGTGGATGCCTTCAACAAGACTGATGATGAAGTGGTGACCTCCTGCAAAAAGACCTGCGATAATGCCGTGGAAACCATCCTGGATTGGAAGATCGAGCGATTCGGCAACTTGCTGACTGAGGAGGAGAAACTGAGCCGATCCACGGAGATGAAGCCCTCCTTGGACTTCCTGCATGCCTTGCAAAGCTCGATTGCAGACCTGGTTTGGGCAGAGCCGGTGGAGTTCGATTACAAGAAGCAGCCACTCGTCGACTTCGCGAACATGCTTCCGGCAGAGTCATCAACACCAACCTTGCTGTTGAATACGCCTAGCTTCAAGCAAGTGATATGTGCCGCCGGCTCAAAGGTGGAGATGATGCTTGAGAAGTTCCTGGACAACTGCTTCAAGCCTTTCCTGGCCAACGATCGATTTGTCTCGTTGCTGCACTTCTGTGTTGCCTTTGGCGGAAGCGACATTTCTGACGTGAACTTTTTGGGAGTTTGCCATGAGAACCTCGACATGGATGCTCTCAAGACGGCCGCAGAACAGTGCAAGGGAATGCTTGGTGCCTTGGTGAAATGGTTGGGTCACCCCCTGCGGGTTCCAGGTTTGACTGTGACCGATGATCTGGACGGCGAAGAGTTGATCGAGTTGGCGAACGACGATGCTACGGACACTGCGGCTACGGCGAACTTGCCCGATGAGAACACACAGGACCTGCCCGATGAGGACACACTCATGGCCGCCGTAGCTGCGGAGAACTTGCCCGGCGACAACACGCAGAACTTGCCCGATGAGAACGCACAGAACTTGTCCGATGAGAACACACAGGACCTGCCCGATGAGGACACACTCATGGCCGCCATAGCTGCGGAGAACTTGCCCGGCGACAACACGCAGAACTTGCCCGATGAGAACGCACAGAACTTGCCCGATGAGAACACACAGGACCTGCCCGATGAGGACACACTCATGGCCGCCATAGCTGCGGAGAACTTGCCTGGCGACAACACGCAGAACTTGCCCGATGAGAACGCACAGAACTTGCCGAATGAGATCACACAGAAGTTGCCCGATGAGGGCACACCTATGGCCACCACGGCTGCGGAGAACTTGCCCGGTGACAGCACGCAGAACTTCCCCGGTGAGAACGCACAGAACTTGCCGGATGAGAACACGCAGAAGTTGCCCGATGAGGACACACCTATGGCCGCCGCGGCTGCGGAGAACTTGCCCGGTGACAGCACGCAGAACTTCCCTGGTGAGAACGCACAGATGCCGGATGAGAACACACAGAAGTTGCCCGATGACGACACACGTGTGGCCGCCGCGGCTGCGGAGAACTTGCCCTGTGACAGCACGCAGAACTTCCCTGGTGAGAACGCACAGAACTTGCCCCATGAGAACACGCAGAAGTTGCCCGATGAGGACACACCTATGGCCGCCGATGAGTCTCCGATGGCCGTCGACGCTGCTGCGCAGAAGGGAGCCCAGACGTCCGTTCGTGCCCCGTTGTGGATTCAGTGTCTCTTCCCCGTGTTTGGCCACGTGTCTGCTCGCATCCAGACTTTGCAGCACATTGGGGAGAAGATTACCTTTCAGGACATTGCTGCCGTTGCCCATGCCGATTTTACCGAGACGTGCCAAGCATTCGTTGACGATGCACTTTCTCTGCATACTATCGTGAACGAATTCCGAGCTGGGTTGCAGCAGTTGGAGCTGACTGATGAAGGACAGAAGGTTCTCTTTGGCGCTGCTGCGTGCAAGCATCTGGAGTTCAGGACCCCCCGCGGCCTTGGCTTGCCCTTGAACTGCCAGTTTCTGTGGTTCAGCCTTTTAGGAAGAAGTCTATCATAACCTTATTGCTGACCTGATCATTAGCTTAACATTAACACACTGCAGGATGAAGATGAATGTGGAGGGCATCGTGATTGAGACGTGCAAGGCCATCCAAAAGGTCGAAGCTGAGGCCACGGCCACCCTGGAGTCTGATACCATGCAGTTCGTTGCGACGGCTTTCGGGGAAGGATGTGATGACAAGGTCTTGCAGAAAGTGCTCCCAATTTCCCAATCCAAGGAAAGCAAAACCCTGCACCAGTGTGCAAAGAACTTCACGCTTCTGGATCAGATTGTCCCCATGTTCCAGTCCTTGAAGCGATCCGAGTTCAACCAGGACCCACACTCGGATTTTTGATTTCAAGGTCCAAATCCTCCGTTTGGGGCAATGTGGGCAATGTAGGGCTTTAGAGTTTACAGTCTAGAGTCTAGAGTCTAGAGTCTTCTACAGTTTTTGAGTTTAGAGTTTAGAAGTTTAGAGATTGATTAGATGGAGTCTAGAGTTTAGTAAAGTCTGTCTAGACTTGACTAGACTCTAGACTGACTGAGTGTAGGGCTTGAGGCTAGGAGTTGCGGTTTAGAGTTTAGGGCCAGGGCCGTTTAGGGTTCAGGGTGGGAGTGGATACTTAAAGCGTTTAAGCAAGCCTTTTCAGCCTTTAGTTTAAAGTTTAAGAGGGAGGGGAAAGGCTTTCGGCTGCCTGTTTTATGCTCCGTATCTGACGCCAGGACCTCTGGAGTCGGATGCAGCTCCAGCAGACGCTGGTGCGAAGCACGATGTCGACAAATTGCACTCTGGCCGTGGTTCAAGCGTTGAGTCGTCCTCTGAGGGAGTCCGAGTCTCGACAGAACCTGGCCAGGCGTGCGCGCATCATGGTCAAAACCCGACAGGAGCACGGCGTGACGATCCCGCAGAATCTCGACATGATGCTTTCGAGCGCAGGATCGGGGCTTTCGTGAAGAGGCCACCCGTTCGGCCAACAGGCCAACCTTTTGATTTTGATGGCTGCGGCAGTTTGAAGCTGTAAATCCCTGCGCCTTCGGTTGGGACCTTGGGTCCGGGCCGGCTTCTTAGATGTGGCTGCAGCTATCTTTCAACGGGGAGCGGCCGTTGCACTAGTTTGAGGCCTTGGGCCTTGGTGCTATCAAACAGTAGACAGTATCTGTAGCCCCAACCGGGCTCCAAGTAAGAAACCTTGCTTGCACCATGGGACCATGGGACCATGGGCCTCACAAACTGCATTTGCGACGTGCCGGTGTGGTCGGCGCACAGAGTGCTCCGAATCAAAAAAATGTTCGTTGATGCATCGGCATGTCCATTTCTTTCAGCAAAGCATGCCGCAGCCTGCAAGTGTTTCAAGTTGGTGATTTGTCATGCAACCCGCCAAGCCGCCAGGAATGGTGACTCGTGATCGTGACCTTCGTAAAATGCTGGTTGGCCGCTGCCTTGGACCTTCTGATCTCGAGCTGGTTTCGGAAGTTGGAGAGAGAGACGGGCTCCAAGTTGTCAAAATGTGAAGTCCCTCAGGCCCTGCTTGGAGGATCTTAGGACAGTAAGTATCCAAGTAAGGCGAGGTTTAATTATTGAAGTGTCTTATTTAGAGCTTTGCGTTATTTTTAGCGTATCACGAAGTCCCATAATCCGTAATGAGTAATGCTGTAGCTACACACTCCAAGCCCCGAAAACAACGGGTTGAATCGTTGTCTGCCATCCACTCTCAAAGGGAAGGCTACGAGTCACGGCCCTTGGGCTATATAGCCCAAGCACCGTAAGATCCAGGCGTAGGCCGGAGTACGGGGGCCGAAAAGGGAGCCTCTCGTCCCTGCAAGTGCTTGCGTTAGGTCGTCTGTGTGCCCAGTGCCCTGCGTTAGGTCCCCCGCCCCAGTGCCCTGCTTTAACTTTGTTCTCCGAGCTCCTTCCTTTCAAGCTGGGCTGGGTCGGGCCGGGCTGGTGGGTGGGACGGGTTGTGTCGGGAGCTCAGGGTGTTTGCCTTGAAGGGGTTCGCCCTAGGAGTGCAGGTAGTGCCGTGTCTGTGTGCGCCAGGTTTCGGGGTTCCTTTGGGGTTCAGGTTGCGAGGCTTTGGGTTTTCTGAGGCTGCCAGGCAGTGCTCTGCGACCCTCCCCCGCCACCCTCTTCTCCTAGCCTTCTCCCGCCCAGGTCTGACCTGCTCGCTTCTCGCTGCCGGGCTCCCGCAGTGCTGCCGTAGGAGGGTCGCCGGTAGGAGTGCAGGTAGGAGTGTCGTGCGTGCAAGGCTTCAGGGTTGCTCAGGTTGGAAGGCTGTAGGGGCTCCGAGGCTGCCAGGCAGTGCCGTGCGTCCCTGCCCCTCCCTCCCTGCACCTCGCGCCTCTCAGGTCTGACTTCCTCGTTGCTTGGCTGGCCGGGCACCAGGAGTGGAAGTGTGCTTTCCTTGCTCTCCTCCCCGCCTCCTGCTGCCCTGTCCTCGCCCCCTCCTTCCACTCAGGTCTGGTCTTCTTTGGTGGCCGTGATCTCGGCCTGTGTTCGGGACTTCGTGGCCTCCCCGCGCCTTTGCTCAGGTCACGATGCCGGAAGTCACCGAGCCCTCCTCGCAGAAGCCCAAGGATGAGATCAAGACCGAGCCGGACCCGGGCAGAAAGGAGGCAAGGAGGTCCGTTTCCTGCTTCAGCCTCGCTCCGCTGGCCCTGGCTCCCGACAGGGCCTCATCTACCTCGTTGGCGGCTACGAGGTTCGTATGGACTCCAACCTGACTTCGACGGAGTGTGGGCCTCGCTCGAGTTCTCGTGTCGCTCACCGCTTCCGAGGCGCGACATTTATGCCCGCGGCTTCTTGGAGGGGCTCGAGGCTGCCCGCCGGGGCAAGCAGGTGTCTTATGATGAGGTGGTCAACTTTTGAGCCGCGGGCCTGGCTGGCCTTTGCCTGTGTTCGCATCCTGGCTGTTGCTTCCCGTCCAGGTCCGTGTTCCGGTGTGCTTTCCTTCCGAGGTCGCGAGTGTGCATGGCAGCTGCTGCATGCTCAAGCCTAGTTGCCACGCTGAAGGCGTTGCAGCCATGGACTCCATATACTGCGGCGGTCTGGAGAGCTGCAACAAGCTCTGGTGGCTGCTCGTTCACTTCGCTGCGACCTGGGGGCCCCAATTCGAGGGCGAGATGGACCGCTTCCACACCACGGATGATGGCTACTACAAGGACCGCCGCAATGCCATGCATTTGAAGTTCCACGACGAAGCGGAGGCGGTGCTCCCAGGGTCATCTCGCTGGGGCGTATTCACACCGGCCGCGGTCGTGCGTCTTTTGGCACCAGCCTGGTGGCGCAGAGTCGGCTTCAGCCAGGACGTGTCGCACCGCTTTTTGGAGTGTTGGCTGTACACGCAATTTCCACTCCGAGGCCAGATGTTCGAGGACGTCGTCCAGATTCTGCACTGCTTTTGCGAGATGGTCCATTGCTCTGACTACGTTGCCGCGGTGCCTGGTGAGATCCGGACGTTCCAAGACCTGATGGATGCCCGAGCGTCCATGGTGAGGCGCCTGCGGCAGCTGAAGCAAGAGCAATGGGAGCTTGGACGTGGCTTGCAGTTTTCAGCTTAATTAATTTGCTCCAGGGCGCATGGCCGGTGCCCACCTTGCATGCAACTTCTTTGAGTTTGTGACGTCGAAGGACGACTCACAGCTCACGAGCCTGATTAAGAGCAGTTCCGAGCAAAATGAGCGTCTTTCCTTTCCGAGCTCCTCCCCGCCTCCTGCTGCCCTGTCCTCGGTTTCCCTTCCCTTAAGTTTCCAGGGCACCCTGTCCCCTTTCGGCCCCGCTGGTAGGTTGTTCCCCTTCGCCCTGCAAGTGAGTGCGAGTCGAGTGCGCGATTCCCCTTTGCCCCCATAGGATCCCGAACCCCTGCTGCCCAGGTCTGGTCTTCTTTGGTGGCCGTGATCTCGGCCTGGGTTCGTAACTACTTCAGTCTTCAGTTCTTGCAAACTTTGCACAAGCACGTAAAGCTTCGGCGTTTGCAGTTCAGAGGAAAACACTCCAATTCGCGCTTCATGGTTACAGCTGTGTGAGGATGACAGTCTAGTGATCAGCCAGAGCAGCTAGCAGCCGCTAGGAACCTTTGAAGTAGCGGGTCCGTCTTGAACACCCAAACCATCGCCTGGCTTGCCGAGTCGTGAGTGGTAACCGTCCCATCTTCAACACCGAAGCCTTGGGACCCACGTCCCAGGAGCTCCGCCACTACGCGGCACCGTGCAGTCGCCTGGGGCCCCGGCGATTCCGGGTGCTGTCGGTAGGACATGACGCTGTGAAGTGTTTCTCGCGAAAGGAACTCCGATGGGGTGGCTGCTGTTGCAAGCATCCGCTTGATACTGGATGCAGCATTGGACCAAGTTATAGTAGTGATCGTCTGGGCTAAGCGAGCTTCCGTTCCAGCCATGCCGCTGGAGTTGGACGATTCGGTGTTCGGGGTTTGGATGGTGGCTCTGTTCTCCGTTTACGATGGCTGTGCACACACAACGCATCGACAGGGCCCTTTGGACCATGCCAAACTCGCGATGGTTACCCACTTTGTGGCGCGAATCTGGAACGACAACAAGGAGACCTGCGAGGTGCTAGCCTTCACCCACGCGCTCTTCAAGATAGCACAGGATGCAATCGAGAGCATGGACCCTGACACTGGGGATTACGAACGGTTGGAGAAGATGCCCCGCAGTGATTTCTTCCTTCGACTTTACGACCCGGACAGCATTCAAGCCACGCTGGAGAAACTTCACTACATCGCCGACCAGCACGACTTCGATCACATGATCAAGTGTATGACTTGGGCCACGGACTTTTTGGCTGGTGTCTTGCCCTTGATTCGCTTTCATCCACAGTTGTTGCGAAGCATGGGGAAGCTCCAGAGCCTCCTTTTCGACATGACTGCGCTGTTGTGCATTCATATGCAGTCGAAGCTGGTCATGTGGCTTCGTCTGCATTAAGTTGCAGCTCCGAATCGTTGCCATTGTTTATTGTCGTTCTGCATCTGGATATTCAGGCTCGAAGAAGGCCGTGCAGCGTCAAGCGGTCCAGCCGGGAATCTGCACAGGACGCGCTGTCCATCCAGATCATGTGCTTGCTAGCTGTGTGTAGGCTGTAGAACGAGTGCAAAAGCTGCATGTGCACTACATATATATATAATGTTATATATATATGTGTATATATATATATTAACTTCCGTACTTTCAGGATGGACTGATGATGATGCTCCCGAACACGGCGGACTGCAGCACAACATCATCGCTTGGCGATTTTTGGCTACTTGGATATAAAAAAGCATTTCGTTTCGCTGCCCGGAATTCATCCACGTGTCAAGCTGGACGGCCGCTCGAGTGCGAGAGTGGGTGTGAAATGCAACTGGC